GGAGCGTGACAAACTGCGCCAGGAAATTGCTGAGAACATCGAGAGGCAGCTGGCCCAACGGCACGCTGAAGAGATTGAAATTCTCCGGATTCAAGGCGAGCTGCGGCTTAAACAGAAAACCGAGCAGTTACAAGCCGAGGTGGAAAAGCTTAAACAGGAGGTTAAGCTTCGCCAACAAAATGCGGCCGGGACTGGTAAGTAGCCACAGTATGCAGCCAACCGCCATACAAAAGCTAACTATCGACTTTAGATGCGGTTTTGGGGGCACCTGCATCAGGCCTCTTGCCCCCCTCAGTTGCGTTAACGACGGCGGGTATCGGCCAAGCAGACAGTGGCAGCCCTACCAGTTTCGCCGGCAATTTTGGAACCTTCTGGGGCGAAGGCGGGTCTGCGCCAACGCCCAAAATACTTGATGACGACTACTACCTGGATGTGTCTGGCGTCGCCAGCGCCTCACCCTCAAGCGGCAGTCCCAAAATACAGTCCCGAATCGGCAGTCCCAAAATACAGTCCCGAATCGGCAGTCCCAAAATACAGTCCCGAATCGGCAGTCCCCTTAGAACCCTCCCCGACAGGTCCCCCAACAGTCCCCCTCAGGATGCAGCCGACCCTTCCGACCTCGGCATCGATATTGATATGTCCGACGCTACCGATGCCTCGTCCGCAGGCGGCAATCCCGGGGAACAAACGTCGCCCGGCAGTCCTGCTCAGCATACAGCCGGCCATTCCGGCTTCGGTATCGATATGCCCAACATTGCCGACACCGCCGACACAGCCGACATTGCCGGCGCCGCATCTGCAGGTGGCGGTCCCGAAATCCAGTCGCGAGTTAGCAATCCCCCCAGCAGTCCCGCTCAGCATGCAGCCGACCCTCCCGGACTCGTTGTCGATATGCCCGACACCACCGACGCCGTGTCCGCGTCCAAGCCCATCATTGTCGATGTTGATGCCTTGGAACTCCAAAAGCCACGTTCAATTCTCACGATGCCCAATTTCAAGGGGCCTTACTCGAAGAGGCTTAATGAAATGATCGAGTGGGGACATAAGCAGTTCCCAAAGAATGGACTCAACGAGTTTAAAGATGGAAAGTTCATTCGCGCTGGGGTGTTTCATGAACTCTCATCTGAACACTCCTGGCTCGTGATCGAACACTCTCCAACTCATCCACTTTCCAAGGCGGGCATGTCGAAGACAAATCCTTCCAAGGTTCATCCGCTTTTAAACGCGGTTCAATTGGGGAAAATACCCTCCTTTGCTATCATCCTTTGCAATGTCCGGGACGGGTGCAAACTATCGTGGGACAGTCCTAATCATTTCGTTGTGGCCATTGTCGATTGGAGGGAGGAACGGAGGATGTTTACACATTGGGGAATGCACCCAGACCTGGCAGAAACGCTGAGAAACGATTGTCAGCAAATATTGGATCTTGACCTGGAAAACTGCGGGAAAAAGGTGAGAAAAGCCTTTCAAAACTTGGTTGATATATCTTCTAACCACTTTTTTGCAGCTTACCTATCCCGGAAACACCTGTCTGCTGCAATGCTTGACAGCCGTTCTGTCCTACGAGGGGAAACCGTGCCCCAAAGCCAATGACCATTCGTCCGCCATCAGAGTGTACTACCTCCAACGGGTGTTGGAGCGCCTGGTCTCCCAGAACAATGAGGCCGTCTCACGAGGTTCACAAGACAACTCTTGCGGCT